CCGATGTCTGTGTGGTCTTGGGTTTTGAAGATTGCTCCAATGTTAAGCAGTCCATTTGTGTGCTAAAACTAGGTGAAGACTGATGGCATTTTGCATGATAGTGAAATGCACTGCACTTTTAGGAGCAGCCTTGCATTGCTTTGGGACATCTAAAAACATCTCCATGCATCCAGCTATGAGGACAGTGACAGAAGCTATTAACAAAGAGGTTGACAGCCCCCCACCAATCTCTCCCTACATCTCCCCTTTCTCTCTCAAACTATTTTGTTGTCTAGAAGCAATTTACATTTTTTTTGTCATTTGCAATCTTTGCATCCTCTATTTTCCCCTATGAAAGAGTAGATGACATATTTTATTCCTTTCTCTCAATCTGTGGTCCATCCTCACTGCTTCTCTCTGTTTGGTCTGACTTCTTTCATTGCAATCCTTGCTCTCCTACTTACCTCTCTCGGCGATTTCTGATCCATCCTTGCCTTTCTTTCTCTTCTTTCTGGGTATCTGCATTATTTTGCATCACATTCGTACTCGTTCTTTCTCTCTTTCTGCGATGTTTGATCTGATGCAGCATCATATTTCTTGTTTCTTAAGTACCAATTTCCCACACTATACTCACAATTTGCTCCCGTCCGCGTCTTTTGGACTTATTGCTGTCTCTTTCCTGGAGACTATTTGTTCAGAATCTAAAGCAGTGGTGGTCTTGGACGAGGGGATCTCTTATATATACTGAAGTACATTGCACAAGTACATTGAAGCTAGCGAACTGTTAACTGGTCAGATTTTGTTTATGTTAATCCTGCTGGGAGAAGAAAAACAGGTTCATTCACACAACAACTAAATAAATAACTTAGAACAACTTTGCTGTGGTCAACAAAATCATCAAGCCCATTCCTTTTAACAGTTGTAAACAACTACCTACTTTTCCCCTTATCTGTTAATCCCCCTTTTCCATTAAATACCCGGTGACCAAAAGGTCTTATTTTTCAGCTACCCTATTATTAAACAGCAATAATTTCTTTACGACTTGTTAGACATTGTAATGGTATCACGACTTTTTGGTCACCTTGTACACCGCTTTGCCTCTTCAATGCATGTAAACACTACATTTCAATGTTGTTTTTCTCCCAAGTAACTTATTCCACAAGCTATTACCCTTTATGGAAAAAGGTCCCTCTTAACCTCAACGCTTCGTAAAGTTTAACATGCGTCCTCTTGTGCCTGAAGTATTCAGTAAATGAACGTTGAACGACGTGTCCCTACCACTTGAGCGACTTATTCCACATAATATTGACCCAAAACTGTATTAATCACGTCCCCTTTAAATACAACCTATCAATATTGCAATAGGAAAATGTGAACGAATCTATTTTGATGCTCATTTCTTTGAATAACCCCCCGTCCCTTCCTACGCTCAGTAAATTCCTATGGCAGGCATCTGTTTATCCAGGAAGACACCAGTTGCATCCATCCACATGAGTCAACTAACATGTTTTACAAGGTCCAGATGAACAAAACGTGAGCTGCTTTCTTTGCTTCTATTTCGCGCAGTTGTTAAGATAACAGGTACGCAGTATTATTTGACGGATGTGACATTCAGCAAAACCCACCCGTATTTGGCAAAGGGTCGATCGGTCCTTTCCCATTATTTGACAGTGTGGGTGTTGAGGAAGATGCTTTCTAAGAGCAGAAACTTTGTGTTGCTAACCATGGTGAGCCAGAGACTCTCTCTCTCTCTCTACAAACTCCCTTTCCCTTGCCTCACCGAAAACCACCTTACAGATAGCCGTCACCATTTCTAAAAGATCTCTTTATATACACATTGTGGAGTCCTGTAGCTCAGTGGTTAGATCACTCGCTTTGCAAGTGAGAGACCTGAGTTCAATTCCAGGCAGGAGGGCGAAACCTTGGGCAAGTTTCCTTACTCCACACAGAGCCTAATAATAATCCCTCCAAAACCAAAAACAATAATAAATTGGTCACTTTCAATCTACGACTGTTTGTAGGACATTGCTGTGCGCAATTGGCTGCCGCGTTCGCCCACAAATATACAGTCAATTCACTTTACAGTGTGTTCTGTGAAGCGCTTTGGGACGTCCTCCCGACGTGAAAAGCGCTATATCAAATGCAAGGATTATTATTATATATATATATATATATAATACTGTATATACCAACATTTCCTGAGATATTGCTCTTATATTGACTGGATACATACATCTATCATAGGAAAAAAAGTTTAAATGTAATCGTGTTCCACAGCAATTGTAACTTTTTTCGCGCTATGTTCAGGCTTTATGTGAATGGAAGATTTGAAACAATTAAAGCCTGAACATTTATTATAAGTATGTGTGTGTGTGTGTGTGTGTGTGTGGAGGAGGGGGAGATTGCTGTTATAGGAATCCCAAACTATTAAACAACACATGTTGGTGTCTCCAAACCAGGGCCATGATGCGGAGGGGGACATTAAGTTAAATGAAGGTGCACTAATCTATGGGTAATTAATGAAAGATCAATTTTATCGAAGGTGGGAGAGATAACTTTGATGTTAACCCTGCAGAGCAACTTGTTTAAGAGATACTTGGTTTATGCGAATACAACAGTCAATAATTCCTGGATAAATAACTTGTTTTGGTCCTCCATATGCTATAAAATGAGGCAGTTTGAAATATAACCAGTGAAGGAAGCCTTTCAGCACATTTTTTTTCGGAAAAAGGAGAACCGATGGATTATAATTGTGCAGTTCAAGACATTATAATATGTTGTGGTTCTGGTGAACATGCCGTAGTATATATCGGTATATATCTGAACTTTGGTTGCAAGAGAAATCCCAGTTAACCCGTATAATTGCAGCATTTAACATTTTTTTTNAAAAAAGTGAAACATCTGTTCCCATGAGTTGATGTATTGCATCCTGAAATGAGACGTGAACGGTTCCAGAGAAGAATAAATCAGGGCTGCGGAAATTTTATAACAGATTAAGCAAATTGGACAATCCTCGTTAATTAGAACATAATTTCATGTCTTAATTACCTCTCTGATTAAGTATCAAAATTAGTATTAAATTCTTGTTAATAACCTTCTGCTGGAGCTACATGTTAAACTGGGAAGTTCTTTATCAGACACTAAAGATAAGAGGGGGGGGATCCACTTCAAATTGCCATAAATCTCAGACTTCATGTAGACTAGCCTTCACGAATGACACATGTAGAACTTATGGATACAAGATATTAGTCTGCTGCCTCTCAATTCTTTCACTATTATGAAAACTAATAAATTTGTCAACGGGAATTACGCACACAAATCAGATGAGGACCAGCAGATTACACATTGAAGTCCCACGTCTCTCGAGCCTAAATGAAATTTCAATCTAATAATTCCTCTCTGTCCTGACCATAATTTGCTTAGAGATGTTGCTGGAGTTCTTTTCGGGCCCCAATGAAAGCGCCATTCACCTGATAATTAAATGATAGTCAGGCTTTTAAGTTTGATTTATTTTGTTTCATCGAGACCGGAGTACAGCGGTGGGAGCGAAAAGGAGCGATATAATTCCTTGATTTGCACTGACATTGCAAGGGATGATCTTATAAAGGCAAAGCGGACCCGCGCTTAATAAGCAATAAAACAAACAGATGAGCTACATGGAAATATTTTCTGACCCCCCCCCAAAAAAAAAAAAGCACAGCTGTAAAATGCCCAAAACTTTAAACGGCATTTCTTGCAGAAGATGTATCGTATCCGACAATTATTGAAAATGTGTGAAAATATCATAATTCGGAAATGAGCAAAAGGTCATGGAAGCGTTTTTTTTAAATTTTTTAAAAAATATATATATATCGCCGGTGCACGTAAATTGAGACACGGTCGTGTTAAAATCCTGCAGTCTGGGAACTTTACCTGAGGGGGGGGGGGGGGTGGAGAAAACGACTGGACATTGCAAAGATTCGCTGTGGACCAGCATTTTGCACAGCACAGCACAGTACAGTACAGTGTGCAGCCGTGTGGCCACAACGCGAAGGCGGGGGGGGGGGGGGGGGGGAGTGGGGGGATCGTTGCGAATGAGATTTAGCAATGATAAGGCAAATGGTATTAACGTTAACCCGAGTGCATAACTGTGCTGTGTGCGGAGGGGGAGAACCGGCGCGGGGCAATCCGATGGCTTCACCGGGAAACTGCTAACGACGCTGTACCGTGACCGCGCGGGTGTGGATGGTGTGAGTGAGTGAGTGATAGAGTGATAGAGAGATAGAGAGAGGGAGGGAGGGAAGGATAGATAGATAGATGGATAGATAGATAGATAGATAGATAGATAGATAGATAGATAGATAGATAGATAGATAGATAGATAGATAGATAGATAGATAGATAGATAGATAGATAGATAGATAGATAGATAGATAGATAGATAGATAGATAGATAGATAGATAGATAGATAGATAGATAGATAGATAGATAGATAGATAGATAGATAGATAGATAGATAGATAGATAGATAGATAGATAGATAGATAGAGAGAGAGAAAGAGAGAAAGAGAGAAAGAGAGAAAGAGAGAGAGAGAGAAACACGCCTCGTGCGTGGTGTTACACGAGGCGGGTTTTGGTGCTGATGGGTCCAGACTGTCAGTGGAAGTTCCTTTGCATTTCTCTCCCTCTCTCTCTCTCTCTCCTTCTCTCTCTCTCTCTCTGCATCAGGTGTAACGCGACACAGCGCAACGCCATCTCCACTCCCCGCTGGGGAGCCGGTGAGCCCGAGCCGCGACCAATCGGCTCTCAGTGCCAGTGCCACACACACACACACACACACACAGCCCCCACCCCCCTCCCTCCCTCCCCCCCCTCTCTCTCTCTCTCTCTCTCTTGCACTCCACCTCCCCAAACACCCCCCCCCCCCACCACCCCCCTCCCCCTCCCTCCCCCCCCTCCCCCCTCCCCCCTCCACCAACAATATCCCCATCATCCCCTCTCCAAAAAAAAAAAACCAAACCCCTTCATGTCTTTCCACGAGCTCCGGTAAGGTGCGAGGCAATAGCAGCGGCGGGAGCGGCAGCAGCAGCAGCAGCAGCAGCACCGAGCAGAGCCGTGCGCCAGCCCCGGGCGGCGGCGGCGGCGGCGGCGGCGGCAGCAACAGCGGCGGCGGCGGCGGCGGGGTGGGGGGGGACCGGAGCGGCGGCGAGATGATGTCCATGGGCGGGAAGCAGGTGTACAGCCTGGCGCCGCCGCACCCCTCCAGCCTGGCCGGGCACAAGTACCCGAGCCTCCACCCGCACCCGCATCCGCACCCGCACCCGCACCCGCATCCGCACCCGCACCCGCACCCGCACCCGCCCGCCGGCTCCTCCTCCACCAACAGTAACGGCGGCGGCGGCGGCGGGTCGCAGGCGATGCGCAGAGTCTGTCTCCCGACCCCTCCGGTACGTACCGTTCGACTGTAATGTCTTGTGCATAATCACCGCTTAAAGGCACATTTTGACAGCTCTCCCTCTCCCTCTCTCTCTCTCTCTCACACTCCCTCCCTCCCTCCCTCCTCCTCCTCTATATTTTTCTCTCTCTCTCCCTCCTCTCTCTCTCTCTCCTCCTCCCTCCTCCTCCCCTCCTATATATATTTTTTTCTCTCTCTCTCTCTCTCTCTTCGGGCTTCGCTTGATGTTTTTTTCATGTCTGCGCAGCAGCAAATCACCCGACACCTCCTCTCTCCGCTCGGGATACTTTCAACTTATGTATTCAGGCGGACGGCCCCTTCCTCCCTCTTCTACCCTATTAATTTTTATGACCCGAGTGGTTGTTATAGGGAGAAAAGAGAAAAGAGAGAGAGAGAGAGAGAGAGGGAGTGTGTGTGTGTGAGAGAGAGTGAGAGAGAGTGAGAGTGTGTGAGAGAGTGAGAGTGGAGTGAGAGAGTGAGAGTGGAGTGAGTGCGTTTGTAAAGGGAATTTTTTTTTAACATTCTGCAAATCCGCGAGAGAGAGAGAGAGAGAGAGAGAGTGAGTGAGTGAGTGAGTGAGTGAGAGTGTGAGAGAGTGCGAGAGAGAGTGCGAGGGAGTGAGTAAGAGAGAGAGAGAGAGTGAGAGAGAGAGAGAGAGTGAGGGGAAAAGAAAAAAAAAAAAAAAAAAAAAAAAAAAAAGAAAAAAAAAAAAAAAAGCGCGCACACCCGAGACGGCGGAATTCCCCGCTGACGGTAATGTGTGCGTTATATTTGCAATTGCAGGGCAATATATTCGGGGGTCTGGATGAAAGTTTGTTGGCCCGCGCCGAGGCTCTGGCGGCTGTGGACATCGCCTCGCACGGCGGCACCAAGAGCCACCCGTTCAAACCGGACGCCACCTACCACACCATGAACAGCCTTCCCTGCACCTCCTCCTCCTCCAGCAACAACAACACCCCGACCACCGGCACCGGCACCGGCGGCGGCACCGGCGGCGGCACCGGCTCCTCGTCGGTGCCCATCTCGCACCCCCTTCCCCCCCCCCGGGCTTGGGCTCGCACCACCACCATCACCACCACCACCACCACCACAGCCACCACCAGCCGCCCCAGCCCCCGCCCCCCCCGCCGCCTCAGCCGCCGCCTCCTCCTCCTCCTCCTCCGCCGCCTCCTCCTCCTACTCACCAGAGCCTGGTGGACGCGGGGGACCTGCTGGAGCACCTGTCCCCCGGCCTGGCGCTGGGCGGCATGGCCGGGCCGGACGGCTCGCTGGTGCCCACGGCCGCCGCCCACCCGGCGCACATGGCCGGCATGAACCACATGCACCAAGCCATGAGCATGGCGGCCGCCCACGCCGCCTCGCACGGGCTGTCCGTCCCTTCCCACGGCGGCGGGGGCGGCGGGGGGGGGAGTGGTGGTGCTGGGTGGGGGGGGGATGGGCTGCCTGGGCGACATGGACGCCGACCCCCGCGACCTGGAGGCGTTCGCCGAGAGGTTCAAGCAGAGGAGGATCAAGCTGGGGGTGACCCAGGCCGACGTGGGGTCGGCGCTGGCCAACCTGAAGATCCCCGGGGTGGGCTCGCTCAGCCAGAGCACCATCTGCAGGTTCGAGTCGCTGACCCTGTCCCACAACAACATGATCGCCCTCAAGCCCATCCTGCAAGCCTGGCTGGAGGAGGCCGAGAAGTCCCACCGGGAGAAGCTCAACAAGCCCGAGCTCTTCAACGGCGCCGAGAAGAAGAGGAAGCGCACGTCCATCGCCGCGCCGGAGAAGAGGTCGCTGGAAGCCTACTTCGCCATCCAGCCCCGGCCCTCGTCCGAGAAGATCGCCGCCATCGCCGAGAAGCTGGACCTCAAGAAGAACGTGGTCCGCGTCTGGTTTTGCAACCAAAGGCAGAAGCAGAAGCGAATGAAGTACTCCGCGGGTCACTAGCGGTGACTTTCTGCGATGGGATGGGGATGGGGATGGGATGGGGGGATGTAGGGCAACAGCAACAACAACAACAACAACAACAACAACAACAAACCCCAGAGACATACACGCGTATATGCTCAACTTTTTTTTCCCCCCCTTCCCCCTTCCCCCCCCCCCCATCCCAGATGTTTGTATAGTAATAAAAACAAACGGGACCGGTCCCTCCAGCCTTCCCTCCCAGGACCTTGATATGGGCCACACAAAAAAAAACAAGTAAGACTATTTTTTTCTTCTTCTTCTGCTTCTTCTTCTTCTTCTCCTCCTTAAAATGCCACCCCCACTGCCACCGAGACCAGGAAACAGATTAAAAGCCCCAACAGAATCGTTTGATCGTTGGCTTTGAATTGAGGATTTACAGTGTATTTTTTATTTTTTTTGGTGGAGGGGGTGGGGGAGGGGGTGGGGGGGGGTGGGGGGGTGGGGGAGGGGGTGGGGGTGTGTGAGGGGGTCACAGAGGAACACACAAGTAAGGCGGTTGGTTCGCTCTTTCATTTCTAACTCAGACGGTTTCAAGCGACGTTAAGGATCCGTCAAACTGAGAAACGAGGGTCTTTTCGCGAAATTGCTGTGTGTGTGTGTGTGTAAACGAAAATGATTCTGTCTGTGTGGTCCTGTGATGGTGTTTTGTTTGTTTGTTTGTTTATTTATTTGTTTGTTTGTTTGTTTGCTGTAACACCACCTCTTCCACGTCTGTGTTTCCCTGCGTACGATGTGCAGACAAGTGGCCCGAGATCGGTGTCGCAACGTGTGGTTTCACTCTGTAATATTTAGAGAAACACTTCCAGTGAAAGATTCTGCACAATCCATCGGTATCGATCGCTTAAATAACGTATCATCACCTCCGCCCAATCCCCCCCCCCCCCCCCCCCCCCCCCCCCCTCTCCCCAAACATGTGCTTCATCATTAGAGGCAAAGATGAGCTCTCTTTTTGGTCTCTTGTCTGGTGCAGAGATTATTGCTGTGCCACTTGACAGTCACCACACCACATTGTCGCCACTCCTTCATTGGAAACACGGATGCACTTTCTTTTTTTTTATTCAGAAAGAAATCACTCTCGATGTCATTTTTAAAAAATGTATATATACATATATATATATATATATATACACACACACACATAAACACAGCCAGTGAACGAAAATAGCTGATCGGAGCAGCCCCGGAGGTCTCTCCCTCTCTGTCTGTCTGAAGGCTATTATTAGATTACTGCCCAAACCAACCTGGGTCTGAATTATTCATTCAAACCGTCTGCAAAGTTAATTTCGTGCTCACTCGAATTAATTCCGCCTGTTTAATTCAAGCGGCGATAACGGCGGGGACAAAATAAAGGGATTATCGAATCATTTAATTATTTAATGTCCCACATCAGTACGTTAGTGAACAGAGAGACGACCGATGGCGAATTAAAAGCTGTTGTGTGTGTGTGTTTTTTTAAAGAAAAAAATAAACCCAGTCTGATCAGGGACGAACACTCAAGCGAAACTATAAGGGTTTTGGGGGGTTCCTGATTGAAAGCATTTCCTCCAAAGGGCAAAGAGATTCACGTTGTACATTTGTATAAACTCAAAAGTATAATTTACCTCTCGTTAAGTATTTATTTTGAATGCCCTCTCACTTTCAAATGCTGTACTTTTTGTCTTTCGACCGACCAACAAAAAAAGGTTTCTGGAAGCGATTTTTATATTAAAAAAAACAAACAGACCACGAGTGTGTGTGTGTGTGTGTGTGTGTAAAAAAAAAGCTGTGAGGGAGGAAACCCCAACTATTTGTGCCAATTGAGCGTCAAAAAAAAATAAATTCAAACACGCTATGTGTGTGTGTGTGTGTCTGTGTGTGTCTGTGTGTCAGTGAGAGAGGCTGGTTTCCAGTCAATTTGTCGGGTTTTTCACGCTTGCTTTTTTTTTCTTCTTTATTATTGCTTTGGGGTTTTCTTTCGTGGGAAGAGGTCCCAGAAATTAGTTTGTAAAGAAAAAAAAATATTTTAGAGAAATGCACATTTTAAATGAAAATGGACGATTGATGATGCACTGCTGGAAAACCTCGCTGTTTGGTACGAGCCTATCTTTTTAAAATAATAATAGAGGTACATGATCTGTACTTGTATATTGTAAATATCATCCAATGGACTTGATGCACATATAGATATATTCTTACAGATTTTGACGTGTTGCTGTTATAGCAGAACCATTTTTACGTGACAAGCGCTCGATTTCTGTTTGGTATCTGACGTCTGAACGATTTGTTATGTTCTTGATAATTTTGTTTCGAAACCTTTTATTTATTATCGTAATTTAATGTTACGTTTGAGGAAACGATTCTAGATATTAACGCGACCGATTTCATCGACAAATTCTTTGAACATTATTTCGAAGTTGAGTCCTTTTCAGTGAAAACATATAATTTCTCTGTGTGTATGTACGTGTGTTTTCACTGCAGATGTGCTCTTGGGTATTTGTTTTTGGGTGTAGGTAGCTTTATCAGTATGGAAAACAGGTTCGTTTTGATTTCTTAGCATGTAGTATCGTGTTTTTTGAATTAAAACCCATAGCTCCTAATTGTATTTTTTAATACATGCAGCTTTCATAAATTTAAACAAAAAAAACTATTATTGTACTTTTTACTTTACATGATCATGTACGATTATGCACATTCTTTTAAATAAAAGGTGATCTATTGAATTCATTGTTGATTTTTATTGTTGGAAAAAGCGGTGCAAAAGAGGGGAAAGGTTAAATTCTCCGAGTCCAGAATAATTACTGAATGCCATTTTATTTTGAAATCATCCATTCCATTTTGCAATGGCGTGCAGTTTAAAATGCAGAAGAGAACTTAAAAAAAAACTTTTGCTTCGACGAACGCACGAGTATTTCATTACGAAATAACCAATACGATCGTGACCAAATGTGCATTATGGTACGAAAAAGGGACTCTTGTTTTTTTTTTCCGGCTCTCACTCGAGCCTCTAATGTTGCTGCCCTGCGAGTTACAGAGACATGATTCTGTTGCTAATGTTTGGCTGTTAATGCCTGGATTGCCAGTAAGGGGTAAAAGGTACCTCGGAGAGATTGCAAATATTCTATTAGACTCCAATCAGGGGTCTGTGGAGAGTAGGATGTGTCCCATGAGCTCCAAGCTGCCAGATGTCAAACCACAGTGCTCTCTCTCTCTCTCTCTCTCTCTGCCTGCCAGACAGTCTTTTCAGAGCTTGCACATAAAACGTATTGGAGCGGATCTATCGTACAAGAGGGGAAGTTAGAATAACACCATCCAAAACTATAATGGTCTGCCTGCGTGCGTGTAAGATCTCGATTTTTAAAAAAAAAATATATAAAAAAACGCAATATTGTTTTATCGGAAATAGCGAGGGGTTTGGAGAGAGGCAATGCCACCTGGAGCCAGTTACCCTACGTGGGCTTTTGCAATTGTGGGGTTTTTTAAACAGAAAACACGAGGTGGTAATATAGCAATCTGTCAAATTGCTGGCGGACACTCGTGTTTTTGAATATTGTGCGTCCTTTCCAAATCGCTATATCAAATGCAAGGATTATTATTATTATTATTATGATGTCTTATTAAATGAATAACTGTAACGGAGCTAAAACTAGTTTAGCTGTTAGTACTGGTGATCGTCATTCGAATAACCATCCCTATCACTCGTGCATACGAATACATTTGCTCCTGATGCCATAATATATACCAGTAGAGACATAATACAAAACAATGTGTTGCTTGGTGGCTTTGATTCGGATTTACTTTATTTTTCCTTTCATCCCCCTGTAGACTAATTAAATATTGAAGCCCATCAGAGTAAAAGCTGTGTAATTCCCTATAGTTGAGGTTTTATCCACCACAAGGGTATATTAGTACCTGTAAACGTATCATTATTTACATGGAATTAGTAGAAAATCAAACCGATGCACTGTTAAGTCTCGGGGAAACTATCCGACATCACATTGTATCCCCAAAATATTGGTCTTAAAGCAAGAACAGGTTGTAAGCTGTGCGACAAGAGAATTGGTCTGAAAGATTTCAGGCAGTGAGCGAGTCCATGGAGGCGGGTCGCGAAAATCAATATTATTTCAAACAGAAAGGCACCTGAAAGCAGACCTTTGCTTATTTCGACAGCTATCTTTCAGCGGAAGCTTCCACTTCTCACTGAAGCAAGATTGCGGGTTGTGCAATTGAACTGCACCTAAAACCAGGAGCCATCTACATAACTCCGGGGCTGATTTGGCACAAGGCTCAAGTGAGTCGCTCCGGGTCTCAGTCTGACATTGTTGAAATTGGCTGATGTTCGGCTCCACATGTCGGATCGGATCCAAACGTGATCTTTGAGTCACGAAGAGATAAAATGACGTGTGAAGGCAAATGGTCCTAAAAACATGCCTTGCACATCGATGAGAAAAACTAACGATGCTCAAAATGGGCTTATTTGCACTGCGTTAAACAGTGGGGGCTACCCGTCCACTTAGCACTCCCCGGTGCTTTCGGCTGATAATATATTCGCCTCACGTTTTGGTTGTTATGCTCTCCTAACGTTGCGATATTTGTTGATTGGTGCGATGCCAGTCGTTATAGATACAGTATGAACAAATAGCAATCGCTTCTTGTAAGTCATCGGTTTGTTTTGTTGCAAAAGTGTCCACTTGTATATATATATATATTATATATATATATAAACATGCACTGCAGCAAAGGAGCGGGTTACAAGGCATTTTTGTATCAACTTGATTCAGATGGAGTGGCCCATGTCATCACTGTTTAACCCACACAACAACAACAACAACGCAGGGTTCGAGTTTACATTGGCTCGTGCAAAGATGATAAAATAACGCATTTATCCATCCAATGTACAGCCTGCCACTGTCTGTGGCATAATGTGGCATATTGCAGGTGGTCCATGTTTTTGTTATTACAGTTATCGCATGTCTATTATACATACATTTTGCAAGGGGTATAATAGATGGAAAGTTGCA